GACACCACAGCCCACACGGACACCGCAGCCCACACTAACCTCACCCAGCCTCTCGCACATGAAGTTCTCCCAGCCGTCCTCAGGTGGTGCCTCTGGGATAAACAGCCAGTCAGCCCCTGAGGCCAGTGCGGATACCAGCGCCAGGTACCTAGAGAGCCAGAGGCCACCTGCTCAGGACCTGCCCTAGGAGGCCCCACTCTGCACTGCTCCTTCTGTGCCTCCCCTGCCTCCAGCCCCAGCCCCATACGTCAAGGCTGACTGGGGTACCCACTCACCCGCAGTGCCGGCCCATCACCTCCAACACAAAGGTCCGCTGGTGGCTGCGGACAGAACAGGCAGAGGCATCAGTGCCAAGGCTCCCATGAGCCTCCTACTGGCCACATGGCCATGATAGGGGTGCCCCAGTGACACAGTGGACAGAGGTGCTGGCAGATGACGGCCCACTTCTCTTCACACCCAGACCCGCCCAGTATCTGGACTAAGATGCCTCAGGCTCCCCGTCAGCCGCCAGGCAGGTTCTGACTAATGTGCTCCAAAGGTGAGGGCCACATGTGCATCCCAGGCCTGCCCATCCCGTACCTCCCTGCTGCCTGGTGGAGGGGAACTGACCTCTACTATATGCCTCCCCAGTGGTGGCCAAGGGATGGAGTGATGTTAATAGTGCCACCACCACCAGTGTCCATGGCCCTTCAGAGTATCTGCACTGAGGCCACAGGTGCAGAGCTGGTCAGGCCAGCAGGGCTGTGCTCACCTCTGGGCAGTGGTGGTGATGGCGTCGATAACCTCCATGATGCGGTGCAGGGCCGAGTCAGTGCCAATGGTCATGTCGGTGCCGCAGAAGTCGTTATCAATGGAGCCCACCAGCCCCACGATGTTCAGGTGTGAGTAGGTCTGAGCTGTGGTCTCTGAGATCTTACCTAGGCATGAGGAGCAGGAAGGCTGGGCTGAGCTATGCCACAGGAGGAGACTCTCCTACCACCCCATGCACTGGCCCAGGGGTTCCGAGCTCAGCCACCTCCCCGCCCAGGTCACCACTGGTGCCAGGCATAGACTCATGACCCCAGTGGGACCCCAGGGGCCTCGGAGAGTGGCCGCATCCTCATCTTGGGGTCTACCATGCTTTCTGAACAGTGATCTCAGCATCTTACATTACCTCAATTTTAACTATACTTTTGCAAAGTGGGTCAATCTATACCCGTGTCCAGACTCTCTCAAGCACCAATTATAAGCAGGATCTGTCCGCACAGAGTCCTTGCCAACATGGGACATGGCCTGGGTTCCCTGGGTCCCTTGAGCTCAAATGCTGAGTTTCTTCCCCTGGTCAACTGGCCCAAGGCTCCTAAGGCATCCAGGCTTACCCTGGCCAAGGACACTCCCCCGGAGCCAGTGGCTAGATAGCACCCCGTCCACCTCAGCAGACCCAGGCTCCCGCCTCCCTGGTCCTGTAGCATGAGGCAGGCACGGGGCCTCTGCAGGGGCTCCCACAGACCTACCTTCTCCCACCAGTGTCTCCAGCAGGCCACCCCACTCGCTGCGGAAGATATCAGCTCCAGTGAGACTGCCATCCCCACCGATAACACACAGGTTGGTGATGCCGCGTTGTACCAGGTTGTAGGCTGCTGCCAGGCGTCCCTCCCGAGTCATGAAGGCTTTGCAGCGGGCGCTGCCTATGACAGTGCCACCCTGCATGGGAGAGATAGGGCCTTCAGACAGGACAACAGGGTAGAAGTTTCCCCAGGGCACCAGAGAGATCCCAGCACATGGCAAGAAGGGTTTAGGGGGCCCCTCTGAAGTGCAGGGTGTCCCCAAGCAGGTGTCCCCACCCCCTGGGCCTTCCTCTTCTGATAGAAGACGAGGAAGGGCAGACTGGGGCAGGGAGTTCCAACACAGAATGGAGCATGAAAGCCCTGGGACCTGTACAGCACCACGCATACCCTCCCACACACCAACACACACACGTGCACCCATGCCCACACACTCATATACACACACATGCACACACGTCATGCACACCCTCACATACATATACATGCATACACACATACACACGTGCACACACACTCACATACATGCATACACACGT